TAAAAAATTAAATTAAAAGTTTAACCGTTAACTAACCTCACGGATGTGTTTATATTTTAAATTGAAATTACTAATAAAAAAATTCATATTTCTGTAACCGTTCGGTATTAAATCTTCTCATTTGTACCTTGCTAAATATTTTTTTACCTCTTCGTAATTTAATACCGAATGTTTATTTTGGTCTTTCGGGATTAAATATAAATTATATTAAATTACGAAGAGGTAAAAAAATATTTAGCAAGGTACAAATGAGAAGATTTAATACCGAACGGTTACAGAAATATGAATTTTTTTATTAGTAATTTCAATTTAAAATATAAACACATCCGTGAGGTTACTTAACGGTTAAACTTTTAATTTAATTTTTTATTATACATAGGTAGCAAAAATATAACAAAAAATCATTGAGTTAAAATATTTTTATTGATTTTTTTTAATAGAAATATTAAATATTAGCAAATCAACATATTAAATATTAACAAATTTTGTTAAAAAATATCATCCTTATATTTTAGCAAATTTATGTTCAGTATACTTTTAGTTTATCTTTTTGACTTGTACTAACCATTCTGTTGTAGTTATATGATTAATTAATTAAGTAGTGATTTTTGAAAAAAAATGTGTACCAAAAATATTATTATTATTATTTCTTTGTTTGTATCTGCAACAGATTTTAGAAAAATTGATTTCTTGGCATTAAAAATTACTAATTTTTTGGAAAATTTTCATATTTTGCATAATAAAATTTAAAAAGAATTTTAAATTCACACGGCGATTTTTTTCCGCTGTGAGGTTGGGTGATTCGTAACATTAATCGTTGTATTAATTCTAGAATTCAATATAAAATTCTGATTTTTTGCAGATTTGTACTTGAAATGTGAGCGCTTCTAATAGCAATTCAGAAATTTCAAAAATTTCTAAAGATTTTGAAAAAAAAATGTTGCCTTATAGAATCATCAAAATCGTGCATCAAAAACTTTACCCTGCAGCGAGCTATGTGAATTATTGAAAATTTCTATACATATATATCGAGTCAAATGTAGTTAAAACATTGGTAAAGTTATTAAAAAAAAAATTAATTTGCTAACTTTAACGGTTGTTGAAATATGAATTTTTATGCAAGAGAAGCAATTGTATTCCACTATAAGAGTGTGGATGATTCGTAACATTAACCGTTGTATTAATTCTAGAATACAATCTAAAATTCTGATTTTTTGCAGACTTATACTTGAAATGTGAGCGCTTCTAATAGCAATTCAGAAATTTTAAAAATCTCTAAAGATTTAGAAAAAAAAATGTTGCATTATAGAATCATCAAAATCGTGCATCAAAAACTTTACCCTGCGGCGAGCTATGTGAATTATTGAAAATTTCTATACATATATATCGAGTCAAATGTAGTCAAAACATTGACACAGTTTAAAAAAAAAAAATGAAGTCGCTAACTTCAACTGTTGTTAAAATATGAAGTTTTATCCAAGAGTCCTGAAATTCCCGCTAGAATAATATAATAATTGTATAAATATATATTATAATATAATTATTATATATTATTAATAATTATATATATTATAATAATATAACTGAAAACAAATTTTCGATCGCAAGAACGAAAAATACGCTCTACCTGGAAAAAACCCTGTATAGCATACGCCTCGCCCACTGACGGCGCGAGCAGAGCAAACAAGACAGAGAAAGCATGCTTTGGCAAGACAGAGTAAGCCTATACACGGTTTCAAATATCCGAGCACTGCACTGAGACTGTACGTCTTTGTAAGAATAAAAAAGTATTTTCTCAAATAAAATGGTTTTTACCCGTGAGGAAAAATACCAAATTATGGTATGGCATCACACTTGTAGATCGTATCGCCAAATACAAACTTTATTTCAAAATATGTTTCAAAATAGGCCTTTACCCATTGTAGCTACAATCCGCGGCATGCCGCGCTGTTGCCATATGCTATTATTGATTCCTAAAAGGGTTGTTTTTCTTATTTTTTAATATTAAAAGTAAGAAAATTAACTAAATCAAATTATTTTTGACATATTATTAATTTTGTTGTTATTTTTAAAGTTTCAAACAAATAAAATTAAACTATTTATTAAATAATTATAATCGTACTCTTCTGATTTAAAACAACTATGGTTCGTAATTACGAATAGCTCGGTTTAAACCACGCCCAATTAAAGTTTGTTTCTTTTCCTCTTATCAGAATATAATTTGTCATCCTTGTCTCCAGCCTTACTTACTTGATTCTATAGTCTGTATTTGGTTTGGGAAATATATTTCTTATATTTGTCGAAATAAAGATGTGTAAATAATTATGATTATTATGCACCACATATTTTAGGTAGAAAAACATTAACATTTGAAGTATTGAAGGAATAACAATACACAAGAATGTTCAAATGCTGATGTGATAAATAATGTTTATTATTTTTAAACAAAAATAAATATTAATCTTTTTTTTTAATATACATATATTTTCAATATACATATAGGTACATATAATTTCAATGACGTACATACATACATTTTTAATTAAAAAAACAATTTAATTTTATACGTTTCAAAGATAGACATATTTTTTTATTTTACTTTTAAATGATTAAATAGAATGGAAATTACCTCTCAGAACAGCACTATAAATAGTAAATAAATTAATAAATTCTTTTGGTTACTTCCAATCAAAGAAAACGCAGATAAGAAAATAAATAAATACACACAGATAATAATACCGACTCAAATACAAAATTCGTCCCTTACCCCTTCCACCGAAATCCCAGTTGTTGCTAGGCGACGTGTTCAGTGGAAAGGGGCAAGAAGCTCGCTCAGGAGATCGGAATTTAAAACGAAATGAAACGAACACCCCTCATTCTCAATCGTCATCCAAGAACTATGGTGGATGGATAAGTGTCGCACCTTACGGACATTTTCTGCTTAAACGACAGGCACAGATATTCCAACTCGTTTGCACATCTTAATCGTTTCGTATTGTCTACATGGCGAATATTAAAAATAGTATGAAGAACTTATGACTCATAAGACATTTTTTCTACCCATATTACAGAATATGACCGTTCTAATATCCCTTTTAAATGTGGAATGACATATATTCCTTAAAGTATTATAGAATGAATTATTCTATCATCTCTGTGTTTAATATCTAACAAGCTTTAGACCGATCCAACCTTAATTCTCCCACTCCCCTCTGTACGTCTTTGTAAGAATAAAAAAGTATTTTCTCAAATAAAATGGTTTTTACCCGTGAGGAAAAATACCAAATTATGGTATGGCATCACACTTGTAGATCGTATCGCCAAATACAAACTTTATTTCAAAATATGTTTCAAAATAGGCCTTTACCCATTGTAGCTACAATCCGCGGCATGCCGCGCTGTTGCCATATGCTATTATTGATTCCTAAAAGGGTTGTTTTTCTTATTTTTTAATATTAAAAGTAAGAAAATTAACTAAATCAAATTATTTTTGACATATTATTAATTTTGTTGTTATTTTTAAAGTTTCAAACAAATAAAATTAAACTATTTATTAAATAATTATAATCGTACTCTTCTGATTTAAAACAACTATGGTTCGTAATTACGAATAGCTCGGTTTAAACCACGCCCAATTAAAGTTTGTTTCTTTTCCTCTTATCAGAATATAATTTGTCATCCTTGTCTCCAGCCTTACTTACTTGATTCTATAGTCTGTATTTGGTTTGGGAAATATATTTCTTATATTTGTCGAAATAAAGATGTGTAAATAATTATGATTATTATGCACCACATATTTTAGGTAGAAAAACATTAACATTTGAAGTATTGAAGGAATAACAATACACAAGAATGTTCAAATGCTGATGTGATAAATAATGTTTATTATTTTTAAACAAAAATAAATATTAATCTTTTTTTTTAATATACATATATTTTCAATATACATATAGGTACATATAATTTCAATGACGTACATACATACATTTTTAATTAAAAAAACAATTTAATTTTATACGTTTCAAAGATAGACATATTTTTTTATTTTACTTTTAAATGATTAAATAGAATGGAAATTACCTCTCAGAACAGCACTATAAATAGTAAATAAATTAATAAATTCTTTTGGTTACTTCCAATCAAAGAAAACGCAGATAAGAAAATAAATAAATACACACAGATAATAATACCGACTCAAATACAAAATTCGTCCCTTACCCCTTCCACCGAAATCCCAGTTGTTGCTAGGCGACGTGTTCAGTGGAAAGGGGCAAGAAGCTCGCTCAGGAGATCGGAATTTAAAACGAAATGAAACGAACACCCCTCATTCTCAATCGTCATCCAAGAACTATGGTGGATGGATAAGTGTCGCACCTTACGGACATTTTCTGCTTAAACGACAGGCACAGATATTCCAACTCGTTTGCACATCTTAATCGTTTCGTATTGTCTACATGGCGAATATTAAAAATAGTATGAAGAACTTATGACTCATAAGACATTTTTTCTACCCATATTACAGAATATGACCGTTCTAATATCCCTTTTAAATGTGGAATGACATATATTCCTTAAAGTATTATAGAATGAATTATTCTATCATCTCTGTGTTTAATATCTAACAAGCTTTAGACCGATCCAACCTTAATTCTCCCAATAAAATTATTTTTCTATAGTATTTTTTGGAAACGTAGAAAAAGTAGTCTGAATTTCAGACTCTGAAACACGTTTCGAATTGGATATTCCGGTCTCGTAAAACTCGCCTTCGGCTCGTGTGGCAAACTTTCCACTCGAGCGGAATATGCCGCGTATTCCAAACTTGTTACTATTCTCGCATTCGTCTACTACAAAACTTGCTTCTCGTCGCTCGTGCGAAAAAAATACGTCTTATGACATTAGTTCTTTAATATACTATACTCTGCTGTCAAAAATATTGCTTTTCTATAAAACAAATGTATAACTGTTGTCATGTTAGAATTAAAATCAATTTAATAATAAAATGTGTATTTAAAATCAATACAACTTTATGTTCTATTGTTACAATCTAGGACTACAGTAGCATGACATATCAATATTGACAACAAAGCTCCTAAATAATGAAGAGAAACACTATACTATTTTCTTAAGTGGTATAAGTAAATATTAAATTGAATAAGTAAATTTAAAGTACACTGTGATTAATTTCTCAGGCAATTTGCACATACGAAAATATATATATTTTATACCTCTTGGAAATATACTATCAATTTACAATCATGCAACATACTCGTTTTATAAACTTAAAACACATTCCTCAAAATCTAACACAAAATAATATACACATATACATTGAAGTAAAGTATGTCATTAAATATACACTAATGTAAAACTAAACAACAAATAAAGCAGGTATTTTTACTTAAATGAGATATGCACCCATTCAAGTTTTTTAATTATTATTTTTTATTACAAAAAATGGATGCGCATAAATATAACTATGAAATACCTAAAATCCAATTTGTTGGAACATTTATATAAAATCTGATTTAGTTTTTAATTTTGTGCAGTATTAACTAAAAAGAAATTGGCTATATATAGAAGAATACATTTGTATTGTACAAGTATTATATTTATTGTTTTTCTCATAAATTAAAATATAGTTATTTAATATGTGCTAGACTTAAAGGACTTATTTGTTATAATAATCATAAAACTACAAAGATTAAAACAGTGTTTTCATCCTTATTTATTAGATGTGTCAACAAAATATATTTTAATTTCAACAACTATCCAAACATAAGTTTGGACCCTAATTTAACCATCAATTTTTTTTAAATAGATATGAAATTTATTTAGGAAAATTAAAATATACTTTGCATTAATTTATATGAATAAAAACGCTCTTAAACATTTTTAATATGTGATATTATATTTTACAAAATAATTAATTAGAAACGTAATTTTATATTGTGAACTCGACAAATTAACAATATTTTTACATAAAATGTTAATAAACAAATGCAAATATTAAATAAGGTTGAGATACAAAATGACACCTTTTGTACTCTAACATATAAGATTGTTTATTTAATGTTTCTTAACTTAAAGTTCACGTTGATATTAACTGTAACAAAAAAATATATAATTAGTATTAAATCATATGATTAAATGATAAAATTAAATATAGTTTAAACAAGCAGCTTATTTTAAGGTTAATGGCAAGGAGCAGGGGATATTTTTGATAATTACCCTCTTATATATGCCTACAAGACAATTATCGCGATAATTGTCTACTAGGAATAGATAATTCCATTGTATCTACGTATCCACTATAGTTTATTCGTGTAATTATCTAAACAAATTACACTAGTGCATAAAAATATTCAGATAATTTTGCATTCAAGCATATTGCCTTTTAAAAAATGCATTCGGTCATTTTCATATTTTAAGGAAAGAGCCCTCCACCTTCGGTGTCGGGCTCTTTGCAAAATATGAAAATGAACTCATGCATTTTTTAGGCAATAAGCTTTCAAGCAAAATTATCGATAATTTTTAAGCACTTGTGTAATTACCCCCGATAATGAAATGCAACTTTTATAAAATTACAGACAAAACTGTTTTTATAAGTGTTTTCTAGGATTTGTAAAAATCTCCTGGATTAATATTATATAGGGTGTCCCGAGAATGGCGCATAAAATGTGAGGTTATTTTGAGTACAAATAACTTTTTTTCCTTCAAGCATAATAAAATGTTTAAAGTATCCTACCAAAAATATTGTTTTACTATTCACCTAATGTTAGTACCAAACGCCTCAAGCCATTAATTAGGATATTACTTTGAGATTTTTTTAGGTAGCAGTTCATAAATTAAACTTTATTGTCGTCAACATTCCACACTGAAGTAATTCATTGTGGCATAGGCACATACAAATCAACAATAAACATCCATAATCGTAGGTCTCCTAAACGCTAAGTAATCTTTATACAAATTGACAAGCTGTGACTTTAGATTTTAGTTAAGGGTTGATGATGGCAACAGTGACTTTTAGGACTTTTAGTCACGGGCTGAAGTTAGTCATAGGCTGAAAAAATGTCATACAATCGTCAAAATAAATTGACTATAATGATCTTTATAACGCCTTTTATTCATTTATTCTTAAAAATTATTTATGTTTGGGTTTGTCGTAAAAAAATAATAGTATTCTAGATTTCTCTAGTTACTCGTTTATTAAACACTCTGTACGCAAGCTACGCTCGTGCCTAATTAAAACTTTGTTTAATAAAATACTATTACGGGGCTAGTTATTAGTTCTGAGGGCGCCAGTGGTTAGCCGGTTTCGATATTCACTGTGATTTGGACCAATCAGGTTTTAAATTGGGTTAAACTTTCTCGCCCCTCGCATCAAATCATAAAATTCGACATCTGTCAGACGGTTTTAACCGCTAATGACTACTATTTCAATGCATTTGAAGAAAAAATAGTCTGCAGGGTGTCCGGTTTTTTTTCGAGGTCAAGCATGTGTATCTCGTTTAAATTATCTCGGCAGTTTGAAAGCTAGCAGAAAGATTTTGGCAGATTTGAATTTTCCTTGAAAAAGTGCCTTAATAATGTCTGAATAAGAAAAGGCTACCTACAACCGTTTTTTAAATAAAAAATTACTAATTCTGTTTTTTACAATATCTCTAAAACTAAAGATGATAATTTCTTTAGAGATCATTGATTGGCATGAAATTGTGCAATTTTTTCCTAATTTAACCAACTATTTATCTCCAAAGATAAGCGAGGTACTTATGCTAAGGCTCGAAAAACGGACACCCTGTATATTTCACGAAGTATAGTCTGGCAAACAAGACTTTACGTGGAACGAAAGGGGGAATTAATATCCCTTTACTTGTCTGTCTCGGTCAAGCGCAATCATTGTCTGTATCAGTTATGGTCCTAACGGATTCTTTTGGTACATTTTGTCTTGCTTGCCAAACACTAGAACAACTTTTTGAGTTTTGACCAGTTTTTAGCTTCAGCTGTACATTCTGGGCTCGACGCAAAAAAATTCGTTTTTTTAGAATTAATAAATACTATCTTTAGTTAAAATTCTTTACACATACAATTTCTATAAAAACATTATTTCAGCCTCAGTTCCTTTATTTTAGGACTACCCAACCAGTGCTCAGTGTACTGTAATGGCAAAAAGTTGCCAAAACCCATTAAAAAAACTAATAAAAATATCATTATGAAATTTTAACACATATATGGGGCAAAACACCTCAAGTGTTCCCACCTAAAAGTTATGTTTTTTCCGATTTTAACAAAACTTTGCCAAATCATTGTCCTATTGGACTACCTTAATTTTCCAAATGGGGGACAAAAAGGATTAGCGGATTGCAGAGATACAGGGGCCTGAAAATTTATTTTTTTTCTCGTGCGCTTAAAAGACGTCGAAATATTCATGTATATAATATTTTTTTTTAAATTGATCATCAACATATCGTATAGCATTTTTTCCACGCTTTACGATAAAAATGGTCTCGAAAGCGAGAAAAAAATTTTTGGTTATAAAAAAACGATTTTAAAAATATATTTGTTTTTTTTCTCGAAATGCGACACATTGGATTTTTTAAAAATTAATATCAAAAGAAAGCTTTTTCAATTCCCTAAATTTTGATGTAATATGAAGATGGGGTTCCAAGAATAAGTCGAAAAAAATAAGGGTTGAAGCGCGTAGGGACCGTGCGGCGAGCAGCTACTATAGTGGTGCTCGGTCTACTATTATTAATTGGAGGGCCAATACAACTTTTAAAATTATTTTTATAAACAAATAAATTTATTTTTCGATGGGTTTAAGTCAAAACAGCACAAGCGCCAAATTTTAATTTTTTTTTAGAAGTTCGATAGAGAATTTAATTCTCTATCGACCTGCAGGTACATGTACTTCTAACAAATTAAAAATTTTTGGCGCCTGTGTCGTTTTATCGATTTTATTGCAATAGTTCATATTAATACCAATAAAACCCATGTTTTGGTTTTTGTAGTCGAACAAGAAAAATGTAGAAAGTAATAAGTTACTCTTACTCTGAATAAATTACACGTGCACGTAAATGTAAATAAGTTATACTATTTAATCCAATTGCAAGTGTCTCACAATAATAATAAACATTTTTAATAATAATAATAATATTTATTTAGCAAAAGCTACATACGAAACACAAAGTAAATTAAGATTAAAATTAATAAAATAGACATGTAAACTTTTTATTGAACATTTTCCCTATTTTTTATTTTTGGGAAAAATGTCATATTCGTTAGCAAACGATATTTTTTGGAATTGATTTTGCAGAATCAAATCGCTTTTTAAGAATTTCTACTGTTTTCATATGATTTTTTCAGGACTGAAAAATACTTTTGTTTCTGGCAAACTTTTTTTAGCCCATTCATACAAATTGGATTTTTTTATGTTGCCTGCAAACTGGCGCGGGCAGCGAATCTTTTTAAATTCCCACAAATGCCATCACAGGGGCCTTTACCGTGTGCTGTTGCATGAAAGTGCCACTCGGCTGAAATACCAAAATCAGTTTCATGTTGCATAAGGTTTTTAAAGTTATACTTGTTTTTGCAATGTTGTAAGTAACAACTTGTAACTAGGGGTTTTGGTAAACTAACAAAAATAGTTTCATTGGTTGCTTGTAAATTAGGTATGCCATGACTTTTTTATTTATGCTGGGCATAGACATATTATTTGACATATGTCAAAACTGAATAATATTCTGCGGTTTTAGTTCATCGTTTTTGCTGTTTTTTCTTAATTCCAGGTATGTTTTTGTGTAAAAACGATCTTTTAAAGAGTTTTTGTTGAGTTTAAAATAATATTTACTTATTTTAAAGTTTTATTCCAAAATATGGACTGATTTGGTGGGTCAATTGAAAGTTTAATTAAGTGGTCTTTTTTATATTTTCTTTAGTTAAAAAATCAATCTTTTTTAATATACCATGGATAGAAGATGTTTAGGAGATCGCTGCTCCATTCAAAAAAAATAATCACAATATAAAACAAGATCTAAGAAATATTTCATCGGCTCTACAGAAATTTTTTTTGAACGTACCAGCTGATGCAAAAATATGTACGTCTTGTAGAAAAAATATGAGCACCATGTCAATGGAAAGGGATAATAATTCACTACTTAAGGTAAATATAATGACTAAGTATTACTTTAAAACTTGCTTAAGATTCTATAGAATTATAATCAAGTAATTAATTTTAACTGCACTGAACTTATGATTTTTATTAAATTTTACCTTTTTTCTGGAACTATCTAAAACAAATAGAGACAACAGTTAACAACCTATTATTATTTACACCATAATTTTAACAGGTCGATCGTGAAGAAGACCATTATTCTGAAGAAAACCTCCCCGAGAATAATGAACTTTCAAATTCCCCTTTAACAGTCATGGACAGAAAAGAAGAAAAAATGTGTAATGACAAAGAGCATAGATCGGCATTAGAAGTTTTAAATCAAATTAAGACCAAATTTCAAAATTCTTCAGTTAATTCAGAAAAGGTACAACTCTTGACACTTGCACCGAAGTCGTGGGGTCGTAGAAGACTGGCTCTAGAATTCGGTGCTTCTGAGCGTCAGGCTCGAAAAGCTAAAAATTTAGTCGAAAGATATGGCATTTTGTCTAAACCAGATCCCAAAAGGGTGGACTATTACCTGAGCAAACAAAAAATTTGGTAATATCTTTTTACACTCATGACGAAAACAGCCGTATGATGCCAGGTATGAAAGATTATGTTTCAATAAGAAAAGATCCCGGGAACACGTCCAAAAACGATTGGTTTTGTGCAATCTTGCTGAATTGTATTCTAATTTTCAATTAAAATATCCGAATGAGCGAATAGGCTTGTCAAAATTTTCACAGATCCGACCTCGTAATTGCGTCCTGGCTGGAGCCAGTGGCACTCATACTGTATGTGTATGTGTACACCATGAAAATGTTATTTTAATGTTGGATTCTGTTGGTTTTGACGAATTAACTCGGGAAACTGACTTTCATTTTACTAAGTATCAAGACATTTTCAAAATTATTCAGTGTGATAATCATAAATCAGAATGCTACCTAAATGAA